AGAATCTCACCCAGTTTGACTGCATCAAACTCCACTTTTACTCCTCTCACCAGGTTGGAGACTACCCCATTTTTCACAGTGGCATTTGCCATAAACTCAATTAGTTCATTCCTGGCCAGCCTGCCATCCAATTCAAGGACCATGTCATTCCACCCTTGTGCAGTAAGAGCATCTACCAATCTCCTCATTCCTGGTTCATCCAGGTCTTTCAGCAGCCTTCCTTTCAAAAAATTTCTTTTGCCAAAGATGGCAAACCTGTCTTGTTATTTCTCAGATTCTTCTTCTTCTCCACCACTCCACTCTTCATCTTCTTCAACAATTTTCTTTTGTTTACCCTTCACAACAGACCTAGTTCTTTTGGCTAAAGAAGATTCAGCAGGTACAGGTATAGAGGAAGACTTCTTGGAAGAAGTCTTGGAACTTTTTGGTTTGGGTGTTGGAACCTCTTCAGTTGTTCCTCTTTCTTGATGGATCAGTTCCATCTCTTCTTCTTCTTCTTCTGCAACATCAGAACTCTCCACAACCTTTGCTTTTCCCTTCTCCCTCTTTTTCTTCCTGCTCTCTTCCAGAGCTTTCTGTAATTCTGCTTCACTTTGTTTGACCCTGCTCCTGGTAGCTCTTCCCTTAGGTACTGAAGGTACAGTAGGTTTTGGGGATGACATTTTGCTTTTCTTTGTTGGCTTGGAAGCAGTTGGAGCCTTTTGTGTGGAAGCTTTACGCTTCTTTGGATCATAACTGGCCCTAACCTTCTTCAGAAGATCAGCCAGAGTCTCCTCAGCAGATGAACCAGGTTCATCTTGTTGCTTGCTTAAATTAACAAGCCCTTCAGCAGCCTCCCCAGAACCACTTCCCCCTGACTTGTTGCCACCTTCTTCAACACCTCCATAGATAGACAATACTTTTTCTTTCTTATTTCCCCTCACATCACCACTGACTCCCTTTCTCTCTTTTTCTTTCTTTTTACCTCCTCTTCTACTAGGATCCGCCCCCTTTACATCTTTAATAGGACCAACCAAGGCAAACCTATTTTCTACACTTTCAACAACATCAGAGAATACCAAGCAAGAATTTACCTCACCAGGAGTTTCTTGAATATTTTCAGTGTCAGATGACCCATGTTCTTCACCTTCGCTGGCAGAAATAAAATCATCAGACACAGAGCTTGAGTCAGATTCTTGAGCATGACTTTCCTTCCTCTGGCTAGCCTTTAATTTCTCACTTAGAGCTTTCCTTAAAGCTCCAGAGGCTACAGTTTTTCTAGCTAGCATTTTCTGCCTGCGAAACCTAGGTTTTGGGTTTTCAATAGGAGGAGTAGATGAGGATGTGTTAGAGGGAGATGCTGGTGGGGGAGTGCCAGGATTATCTTGGGGGTTAGACATGGTTCTTCGACTATGGAAGAGTTTTGGGAATTTCTGAGAAGAAAGAAGATTTAGGATTTCTGGACAAGAAGAGGGCGATCAGAACTGGAGAAGAGTTTTGACGGTTATGGATTAATGAAGGAGGGGTGTGGTGTAGTTAAAGGTGATTAGACTTAAATGCAGTAACGACAGCTTTTCAGAGGTCAAGTAGAAGTCTAATCAAGGTGTAATTCCGGTCTCTTAGTAATTATTAGGCCTCGCTAGATTTTAGGCAAAAATCCCGATTTTTAGAGTTCTAGGGGAACGAAACTGGTTCAATGCTCAACGGATAGAATTTCTGGGAATTTGATGAATGTAGGACTTCTGCTCATGATTGGAAAAATAATCTTTCTAATTGTGCAGAGTATAGAAAACATACCTGAGCTTTTCATATGAACACATACTGATGAACCAGGTTCTTCATTTAGAACTCTCTTGAACATGCCCCAAATGCCAAAATAGAAGAAACTTTGTAAGAGATCAGTGAATCATATATATACACATGTCACAGGAGTATACTAATTAAAGTATGAAACTGAGTAAGAATTGATCTAGATATTTACACAAAGTTAGAACTCCTAACCAGAAATAATTTTTTTTTCTTGTGCATTCTGAACTGGACCTATTAGGTGATCTTAATCATCCCTAATTCCAACCTGTTCCTCTCAAAGTTTTCTCTACT